ACTGACAGACACGGTCATGAAATTCTCAGCGTGGAGCGTTCCCTGGGGCAGCAGACTCACTTTGCTGATTTCTCTCGTTAGGTTTAATCCATTCTGTTTCCTTTAGAATGTTTTTCAGGTTTGTTTATTTTTATTTTGTGCATGTGAGTTTTCTGCGTGCGTGTCTATGTGTTCGCCACATGCATGCCTGACAGAGGCAGAGGTCAGAAGGTGTGGGATCCTCTACAGCTGGAGTTACAGAGAGTTGCGAGCCACCATGTGGGTGCTGGGAACTGAACCCGGGTCCTCTATCAGAGCAACACACGCTCTTAACTGCTGAGCCACCTTTCCAGCCCCACCATTCTAAGTCTCTTACAACTCCAAATAACGCTTGTCAACTCGTTTCCATCCACTCCACACATCCACAAGGCTGTACTGACTTAGCCCCATGTGAGCAGAAAGCAGTGTGACATGCTTAGAGACACAGGGTGGACTAGGCAGACAATACTCTGCTCTGGCAGAAACGCTATAACAGAGCATCCTTCTCCTGGGAAGAATCAAACAGTCAACACTCTGGGCTTTTAGGCTATGATTCAATGACTCTGATCCACCACTATTGCATGAGAAAACTACATAAAGTGCGTACACCAATGGGGATAGCTGTGTGTCAATAAACCTTTATTTATAAGAACAGTCAAAGGCCAGGTTTAGCCCACAGGAGATTCCCCACCACTTCCTAGAGGAAGACTCAAAAAAGAAGCAAGTAAGTCGTCACGGAGTGGGTTAATTATTCTGAGACAGTGGAGTGAGCTCTGCGGACATGTTGTGGGGATACCAAACCAGACGAGAGGAGGCAGCCAGGAGAAACTGGCCGTCCGAGGCAGGGTGGAGGATGGTTGGAACCAAACTGGTGCGAGGGACCACCCTCTCCACTGCTGGTGCTTTCCTCAGACACCCGCCTCGTGAGTGTGTCAGCTCCACAATTGCTCGACTCGTCTCTTTATTAACAATTCAAAGCCCCCTCCTTTGCTCCCACAACAAACACATCAACCTTTCCTTCAGTCTGGCACATTCGCGATTCCTCTCAGTCTATAAGCAGACTTCTGAATCCACTCAGAAAGAAAGCTGTCTGTAAGCAGATACATCATACTTGGAAACATAAGTAAAGCCAACAGCTTGACTCACAGGGGCCCTCGTAGGTGACTACACTGCCACCAAGTCAGCAGCTGCCAGAGGCTGAAACACCCGAACTTTGTCTCTGTCCTTTAAATTCTTCACAGACCAGTTTGCAAGGAACATGAACGGCTGCCAAGAGTCAAAGCAGACACCCATGTCCACAGCGAGTGGCAAACTAAAGAGCAAAGTCGAACCTGCGAACATAGGAGCTAGTGCATCTAGATGCAATGTGCAAAATACATTCAATATTTTGGCAGAAAAGGGTGATCGAGAATTGAGAAAATAAAAGCAAATATTAAAAACTTAATTTGGAAGAAATAAAACTAGGGAGCTGAAAGAGATGATTCAGCAGGTGAAGTACTTGTCACACAAGCTTGACAACTGGGGTCAGACCCCTACACAGACACACACAGACACACACACACACACACACACTCACACACACACACAGGTATACACACATGCACAGACACACACACTCACACACTCACACATACTCACTCACACACATACATACACACACTCACACACAGGCACACACTCTCACACACTCACACACGCACTCACACACACATACATACACACTCACACACAGGCATACACACTCACACACACTCACACACAGGAACACACACTCACACACACATACACACACTCACACACAGGCACACTCAGGTATATACACATGCACACACAGACACACACACTCACACACACATACATACACACACTCACACACAGGCACACACAGGTATACACACATGCACACACTCACACACAGACACACACACTCACACACACAGGTATACACACATGCACACACTCACACACATATGCACATACATGCACATACTCACATACAGACTCACATATACACACACACAGGCACACACACTCACAAACACACACACAAAGGCACACACAGAGAGACACAGACACATACACATGCATGCATGCACACACAAGCCTCCCCACAGGTATACACACACACACAGGCCCCCACACACAAGTATACACACAGGAACACACACACTCACACACACACATACACACAAACTCACACACAGGCACACACAGGTATATACACATGCACACACTCACACACAGACACACACACTTACACACTCACACACACATACATACACACACTCACACACAGGCACACACAGGCACACACAGGTATACACACATGCACACACTCACACACATATGCACATACATGCACATACTCACACACAGACTCACATATACACACACACAGGCACACACACTCACAAACACACACACAAAGGCACACACAGAGAGACACAGACACATACACATGCATGCACACACACACACAAGCCTCCCCACAGGTATACACACACACACACACACAGGCCCACACACAGTCCAGCACACTACACACAGACATACGGAAAAAAGAGTCTAGTAATTAATCAGTCAAGAATCTGCTGAGCACAGTTCAAGAAATAATTGGTTATTTTCAAGAGATAGAATAAGCAACAGACTAATTTCCTAAGAGGGACTGGAGAACGGAAGAGCCAAATACAGAATGGAGTTCTGGGACTGGGAAATGGCTCCACGGATAAGAGCTCTTGCAGCTTTTGCAGAAGAGTCGAGTTAGTTTACCAACACTCCCATCGAGCTGGCCATTGCCACTGTCACCTCCAGTTACAAGGGGATCAAAGCCTCTGTCCTCTGAAGGCAGTGTAGCCATGTGCACACACAAACACACACAAGTGAAAATAAAAACACAGCATATCTAAGAGCAATCGAGCGCTAATGCAGACACCGGAGCTGGGATACACCAAGATGTGAAACGTAAGAAGTGTGTGGGAGCCGGGTGTCGGTGGCGCATGCCTTTAATCCCAGCACTTGGGAGGCAGAGGCAGGCGGATCTCTGTCAGTTCAGCCTGCTCTACAAAGCGAGTTCCAGGACAGGCTCCAGGACAGGTTCCAATACAGAGAAACCCTGTCTGGAAAAACCAAAAAAAAAAAAAAAAAAAAAAAAAAAAAACCCAGAAGTGTGTGGGAAAAGATGGGATGAGAAAGAGGCGCCCTTCAAAGCGCTCGGGACTACGGCCTTCTAGACTTTCTGTGTGAGCGGACACAAAGTGAGTCCAAGCATCGGACTGTTTATGTGGTCAAGGCAGAGAGAAACAATGCCTCCTGTTTCCACAGGTCCTTGTGCTAGGAAAGAGCGTGGTGTTTCCATGCAGTTACACAAGGCGGCTTCAAAAGCCTTCTGTCTGGTTTGCATCCTCCTCCCCCCCCCCCAGCTTCTATTCTTTCCATAGTGCCACTTTATTGGTCTTAGTAAAAAGAAAAGAAAAAACAGGGTGGCGCATATCGGATCTAGGAATGGGGATCGCACTGGGATCCTTGGAAACCCTCGACAGCTGGTGACAGTGCTTGACCTTGAAGCGATTGCATAAGGACGGTTGTTGAAGGACAACCTGCACAGTAGTCAGAGACACAAGAAAAGAAAGTTTATTAAAAGTGTCTTTCCAGACCTTGAAATGAAATTGGATTTAGCAAATGTCACCGAAATCCAGATGTCCTTCGGCCTACTCATAGGAAGGTAAGAATAGGCTTGGCTAACACTTAAGTATTGTTTACTAAAATGTCATCACCACCATGCTATGTATATACAAGGAGTAAAAAGCACGAACTATTCTCTAACCAAATCATCAAATCTGGCTTTAGGTCACATAAATGAAAATGATTTGCTTATGTTCTCTAAGTGATTCAACAAATCCTATGCTTGATTGTTCAATTGTGAATGTTTCATAAAATAGAAGTAAATGATACTAAGTTTTTCTTTTAAAATAAACATAAAACCATGAATATTTTTATTGTTTGCAGCTATTGAAATCATTTTATGAACAGAATTATAACCTATAAAGCAAAAATGCAGAAATGGTAAGAGAAGCGTTTCTAGGTTTAGTTGACTCTGCCGCTCCCTTTTGGAAAGCTGTTGATCTCCAGACGTCACATCAGATAGACCTCAGGGAACTGGGTGTCAAATTTAGGATGTACCTGCACTAACTATAAGCTCATTTAAAATATAGACCGTGGGAGCCCAGAGAAATAGCTCAGTTCTTAAGTGCTTGCCACGCAAGCATAAGGATCTGCGTCCAATCCCCCAGACCCCACATTTGGAAAGCTGGTCGTGGTGGCAAGCATCTATAATCCCAGCACTAGGGAGGATTCCTGTGGCTTGCTGGTTAGCCAGCTTAATCAAATTAGTGAGCTCCAGGCCACTGAGAAACCTTTTCTCAAAAAAATTAAGACAGAATGGTTGAGGCAAATACCTATTAAGGACGTCTGACCTACACACACACTCACACACACTCAAATGCATACACACGTCACAGATTCCTGACCCCAGCGGGAGGGACTCTGACACCGCAGACTTGAGATGAACCCCCGAAGTCTGCCCTTTCACAGATGCCACGGATAGTGCGAGTTTTGTCAGTGGGTCGGCAGTGCTCCTTAGTCCTCCGTCTTAGGAGAAATAGACCCACAGGCCCTCCCTTTCCTACAAACTCAAGAACCCAAAGAACACTTGCTAGGCTAGCCTGTAGAAGTGAGCTGACTTTCAAGGCTCTGGTTTGGGCTGGGTCTCCAAGATGACTCCAATAATCAATGAGAGGAGACAGAGAAGAGTCACCACCATTCCCAGGTGTAGAGTGAACTGCCACTTAGCATGACAGCCAGACAGCATGACAGCCAGACAGCATGACAGCCAGACAGCATGGATGTAAGAGGCTGCAAATATACTCTTCGCAGATGTTTGCATGTCTGTCTACTCTTTCCTCTCTCAAGAGGGGGCAGCTCACCTTTCCATAGTCGCCATGGTAATGGGTCATTTTCCCTCAGCCTTCAACTCCAAGATCAGTTTCAAGAATGAGAAAGCGTGGTGAGAGCTGAAGAGAGGTTGGTAAAGTTTTTTTTATTTATCCCCAAAGAGTAGGCGGTCAATATTGACCTGATTGCAGAGCAGGCAGTGAGACACCATGGCCCTTTTAAAGCAGAGCACCTTGCTGAGTGGTCAGAACTAGGGGGTGTGGAAGACACGTCGACAGTTTCTGCTAAAATGCGATTGATTTCGCTTAGTTTGAAGCAACCTTCAGAGCACTGTTTTAGAAATTACTCCCTCAAGATAGGGATTATTGTAGGTGACTTATCAATAAAGCACCAGGGTTTGTCATTCCTAATGTATGAATCACATGCATTTACACTCAAAGAGAGTCAACCAGAAGAGAAAAAAAAAACACAGAACAGAATATACTTCATTCAGCATCTGCTTGTCAAGAATTCCCATTCCCATGTACTTCACACTATTGAATTCACTCCAAAGAGTTAACTGTGTAGGTTAGCAGGATGAACACCCTTTTCCCTCCAGACTTTTCTGTGACTTTGCAAACTGGTTAACAATTGAGCACAAAGGCCTCCAGAGTCACACTGGAATGCTGTGACAGAACCATCAGATGACATGGGACTCAGCACCTTCTGTTTACGCCCAAACAGCGAACAGCAGAAGTGAACAGAGCCCACACCCGAGCCAGCACGGCCTGAGAAGGACTTGACACTCTGACTCCATGGTCCAAGGCAACAGATGGAAGATGGCAGCAAACCCTCTAAGAACAGCGCTTGCTTTGCTCTTCTTTGCGCTCTCCGGGGTGCTGGGCACTGGGAAAATCTCTTGCATAAATGAGGAAGGTGAAGCTGTGGACTGGTAGGTAAATGATATTGGCAAATACCAAGTCAGGGCATGTCTGTGACGAGCCTAAGGAAAGCCTTTACCTGACTTCCCTCTGGTTAAAAAGCCAGCTGCTGGGGCTGGGGGTATGGCTGGGTTGGCAGGGTGCTTGCCTAGCATGTCTGAAGCTCCGGGCTCAGTCCCTAGCACCACATAAAGGGGGAAGGATGGAACACACTGTAATCCCAGGTGAATCATCAGGAGTTCCAAGACCATGCTCAGCAAGAAAGTGAGGTCCAGGCTAGACTGGCTTGTGTGAGATCTTGTCTTAAACGAATGGATACACAAAGTAATTAATCAAAAAGAAAAGGACTTGAAGTGTGCCAGTGGGCTCAATTCCCAGGCAGAGATGGTCGCTGAGTGGGTGAGTTGCCCCTGAGAAAGTGCCAAGCAGTTCTCTGGAGCCTTAGTCAGTGCTTTGAGGGAGGGGGAGCACAGTGTGACTGAGCTGACAGCGTCACTTGGCAATTTCCTTTCATCTCCTGTGCCCTTTCTGAGATACAAAGCTGGGAAAGCTTTCTAAAACTAAGGCGTAGCTTTCCCCTCATGGGAACAAGAAACGGTATGTGATGGAGACAAGCATTGCTTGTTAACCTTCATTCACAAGGCAGCCCTGGCATGAGCGACTGCTCTTTATCACCTCCTACATCAATGTGGTGAGGTCCTCCTTGGGAATCTGGTCTCTTTTCTACTCTTTTACTCTGGTGTTAGGTCCCTGTGGCAGTTGACAGCATTGTGTGAGCTAAAGAGCTTCAATCAGTCCAGTCTTTCAGCATTTTCAGGCCTACCCAAAGTTTTAAAGACAGAGATATGAACAAAACATAGTTCCTACCCTCCCGAAGCTCTGTTCTCTAGGATTGACACAGGATGTTAGGAAGCACACAGCCCAGAACGCTTCTTTGAGTAAGTAACGTTGAGCAAAGTTTTAAGAATAATTATGTAGCTGTTTTAAAAATAATAGGGAGATGCTGTGGCAGCTCGGGCTGACTGAGGAGGGAAGAGTTAGTGCAGAACCAAGGGGTGGCATGGAAAGTTTGGCACTCAGAGTGCTGTGATGTCACACGGCTTGAGACTCGGGAGGATGCTCAGAGGCGTCTCCTTGATATATGATCCAGTCTACGTGGCAATAATGCAAAAGACAGATGGGAGAGAATTGATCTAGAACCGCAGAGTAGAAGGATCGGTGGCTTTTGAGGTCATATGTTCCATAATAGCATAGGATGGACATGTTTGGTGCAAGATACTATGAGCTTGGTTTCAAGAATATGGAGCTGAAAGATTCTGGGCACCCTTTTGTCTAGGTATCTAACTCAACCTAGAGTTCTAGGCTAGGAACTGCATACAGAAATGGTCACCCAGGAAAAATGACTAAAAGTACCACTATCACCTAGTGACCATGGCATGGTAACAGTCTTTAGTTGCTCTGCTTGGAGGGGAGTGCCAAATTGTGATTGGTAGAATTTTTTGTGACAACTGAATGGGTTTATTTCTTAGTGATACGCATCAAAAAGACAGGCCTAGCTGCTTAGCAGAGAAATTGCTGAACAGTCACAAAGCCAGCATATTTCCTGTCACGTGTGAGGACTTGGACCTGTGGCTAAGAAGGCTGGACCTTGAACTGAAGTACAAGTTCATAGAGGACCAAGTGTGAGGAGTGTGATGCTCTTGGGTAGACTGCTGCATTGTGATGGTTTATGTATTGTGTTTGGTTCACTGAGTCTCTTGGGGCTAATTATAGCATTTCATGCTCTTGTCATGTATTTGGCTAGACCAATAGTTTTTAGATTTGCCCTTGGGGGACTTCTGACAAAGTCTAGGGACAGTTTTGATGGCCTCAACTTTGGGATACTTTTGGCCAGATAGCCTACAGGACACAGGCCAGCTCAGGAAACATAAACCTTGATCACAGTGGGACTAGAGCACATGAGAAAGCCCAGGCTCTCCCAGGGTGACCTAAGGCTGGCTGAACGCAACAGAGACTTGTTCACTTGTCCTCACTGGGAGATATGCAAAGGACATAACACCAGAATAATGACAGACGCATGAGGAGAATACTGCGCCAAACACTTGGTAAGCAAATCCTCCATTCACAACATTCCAATAAGCTGAACTGAAGAAAGTTGCTCAGGACCAAGCATGGGAAAGCCACCAGCTCAGACAAACCCCACACCCACCTGTCTAGCCCCAAAGAGACCAGGTGCTAAGCAAACTCAAGACTTCCCAGTGCAGACCTAGACCTTGGCCTTCTCTCCCAGTGACCACTGGGACTATGGGGACCACAGAAAGGAATCACTCTCAACACACATGAACTTTCCTTTCAGGGGTCTCAGTCACTTAGGCCAGCTACTGTATTAGATTCTGATCCTTAGAGCGTACCACCCATGCCAATCTTGCCTTCCCTGGAGAAAGGTAAAAAGAAGAGATAGAGAAAGGGCCGGAAACCCTGAGCACTCCCTTCACTTAGAGGCCTCCTATTAAATACAAGGAACAGTACACTTAAGTATTTTGCATAGGCTGTCATCAGAAAAGTAGCCAATAAATGATAGCAATTCATAACTATTCGCTATGTTAGGTTTGTCTTTTATAAGCTACCCAAAAAAGTTGGCGAGGATATCGGGCTGCAGTACATGTTCCTGGACTCCACAATGGCAAGCTGGAGGAAGAGTCGCCAGCTGGTAAGCAGCAAAGAAAGCATTTTGGGAAGGACCTTGGCGCAGCTATATGAGGCGTATGCCTCCAAGGTAGGTTACAGTCAATTGTTCAGAGGAAATCATACAAAGTCTCAATCTTCCCCCAAAAAGCTCCTTTGGAATCTCTCTCTCTCTCTCTCTCTCTCTCTCTCTCTCTCTCTCTCTCTCTCTCTCTCTCTCTCTCTCTCTCTCTCTCTCTCTGTCTCTCTGTCTCTCTGTCTCTCTCTCTCTGTCTCTCTGTCTCTCTCTCTCTGTCTCTCTGTCTCTCTGTCTCTCTGTCTCTCTCTCTGTCTCTGTGTGTGTGTGTGTGTGTGTATTGATATATTATTTATGATTTGTTAAAGCTTGCCTGAAATATCAGAGTGGAAAGCCAGCCATACTATACTATAGAAGCTAGGCAACAGTGATACACACCTTTAATCCCAACAGTCATACTAGCCAGCCATGGAGCCAGGCAGTGATGGCACATGCCTTTAATCCCAGGACTCGGGAGCCAGAGGCAGAAGGACCTCTCTGAGTTCAAGGCCTCCCTGGCCTACACAAGAGTGCAGAATAACAGAGCGCATGCCTTTGATCTCAGCACTTGGTATCACGGGCATTTAATCCCAGCACTAGGGAGATGGAGACAGGAGTGATATGGCTAGGTGGAGAGAGGTATAAAAGGAAGAAAAGGGGTCTCATATTATGGAGACTTAGTTTCCAGACAGGAAGGCATAGGATTGTAGTCTGAGAAGAGCGGTGAAGTTTGGAGATGCAATCAAAGAACACAATTGCCCTTTGGTCTGAGCATTGGTAGAGGTGAGAAATCTCTAGGGCTTGGCTGTTTTGCTTTTCTGATCTCCAGTTTGAAGCTTGAACCCCAATATCTGACCCTGGGTCTTTTATGATTTGAATTATACCAAGCAGTAACGGGAATCTCCATGAATGCATTCCCTGACAATAAGTTATGGGTGCGTTCAAAATGATTGCTTCTATTCTATGGTAAGTTCTTTGCTGGGCTTTTCACCTATTAAGTAATTTAATTCTCACCACAAGACTGCTTTAGCTTCTAGTACCACCACACAAGTCTACCTGAACATTCACCCAGGAGCTGTCACTTTGTGTGTGGTGGTGAAGAGGGGGAGGGTGGCTTGTTTTAGTCACCTGCCATTAAAAGCAACCTTGAAGGTAAATCACACAGTTAAAATGGCTCTGTAGGCTGTTTGAGTACTTGTGGTGTGCCAAGCACTGTTACCGTGCTTTTCTTGAAGTTATTTGATTCAACAGCATCCCTGTTTTAAATAACCAGGTTATTATGTAAAATGAAAACTGACTGAACGCTTCTGCTTCCCAAGGCGATAGGAACCTGGAGCAGAACCCATTAGTGAGAAAATAAGCCCCTACATTGTTCTCCTCTCCATCCCAGGGACACCTGGAACAGAGAAGATGAAAAGATAACACAGTCAAGCCACTGCCATTCACCTTACTTTGAGTAGATAGCATTTGACTTTTAGATTGGCAGATTGATAGTAATGAGCTAGGGAAATGAAAGGCAGCCCAGTAAGTGCCTAGGAGAGAGAAGGCATGACACCTGCTTAGCAGAACAAACACAGGGAGAAGGGTCAGGTGTGGCTTACACCTATAATCCTAACATTCAGGGGGATCACTGAGGCAGGAGGGTCATCATGAGTTCAAGACCAGCCTGGGATAGATAAGTGACTTACAGGCTTGTCTGGATTTCAGAATAAATTCTTGTCCACTCTCATTCTAAAACTAAAGGAATTAAAGAGTGTGTGAGAAATAAATGGGAAGTTGGGGTAAAGCATAGCAAACGATGATGTAAAAGCCTTCACTGTCGAGCCTCGCACGCACAGTGCTTTCAGAGCTTGGTTCTAGAAAGGAACGTGTCAGGAAAGGGGCTGGTTCTGTGTCTGATGAATGCAGAAGAAGAAAGCACCAGAGCAAATGCCACGTGGGTGTGACTGGGTGTTCTTTGGAAGACAGAACTATCTGCCCCCGGTGACGGAGAACTGTCTTCTCTACCCTTTGACCCGGTATTGATCTTCTAACTGAGAGTGGGATGTGTGATCAGACCAGCTAATTTTGTATCACAAATGTCCAAAGGCCTGGTTACACTTGGGATTGTTCCTACACTTTTACTTTTGCAAATAGGGACTCTCCACATTTCTTAAAACTCAAATCACATTGCAGCGGCTTATTCTTGCCTAACTACGTCTCCTGCTAGACCAGGATCAGAGGAGAATAATCCCCTCAATTCAAAATCCGATAATCAAGACAGCACTTAGCATATGGAGACAGAGCCAGCGGCCCTCAAAGCCGGATGTGGTGAATGCCTACAGCCAGCACAGAAGGTGGAGACAAGCAGATCTCTAGGATTTGATGACAGCCAGCTTAGCGGAACCTGTGACCTCCGGGTCCAGAATCTATCTCAAAGCAAAGACGGAGAAGTAAGGGAAGACACCCAGTATCGACTTCTGTCTTCGCATGCACCGCTCAGTCCAATGCACCCACGTAGACACACGCACATCCTAGAGAAGGGGCCTCCCTGTGTAGCCCAGGCCAGTCAGCTAGTCTCAAACTCATGATGCACCTGCCTCATCTCCTTAATGCTATAATTACAGGTATATGCCACCAGGTCTATCCTGTCTGTCCTATGATCTTTTCCACTCTTTTCCCACCAAGGCTGCAAACAATTTAATCATAGCTGTCTATTGTAACAAGATTCTTTCCCGCCAACTGCCTGGGTCCCACTGCTGTCTCAGCCCCCAAATAACACACGAGACACTATATGAATCATGAAGCTGTTGGACATTTGTTATGGTTTCTTAATAGCTAGCTCTGACTTAATTATTAACCCATAATTACTAATATATATATGTATATATATATATATATGGTCTTATCTTACCCAGAACACCAGACTTGCACCCTCTCCTCCCGGGATCACTTGGCGACTTTCTATTCTTGACTGCATTTCCCAGAATCCTCCTCAACTCCTAGTAACACCTATCTTGTTTCCCTACTGGCCAACAGTGCTTTATTTATCAACTAATAGGACAACGTATACACAGAAGGACTTCCCCATCAGTCTATTACACTCCTGGAGGTAATAAAGCATCTATTGCAAGAATAAATATCCTCGATAAGTCATTCTTCTGCATGGCACATGGAAGGCAAACATAAGGCCTTGTTACCACAGCCAATGCCAGCTCACAGTAACCAGAGCTCTCAGGAAGGACAGGCATTGCCATTCTGTAGCTGCTGTAATTGTGTATACAAACAAACAAAGAAACAAAAACCCAAGGCTAAGGAAACAGCTTACATTGGGAATGCCAATACAGAGTAGCCAAAACTATACTGCACATTTTAAGTGTTTTTGGATTGCCTCAAGTAATTAACTTCAAGAGATCTATTATCGACTTTTCTGTCTGAGGAAAGGATAGGGGTTATTTTTTTTCCTTTAAGGAATTGAGGTGTCCTTGTTGCTTTTATTATGCCACTAGGTTTTTTTTTCAATATCAACATCATTAGTTTCAATAAAAGTCGTGGCATCATGACACAGATGGGATGGAACAGATGTAAGATGTTCCCAAAACGTGACAAAGAAATGCTCAGACAAAGAATGGCTTTCCTCTGACTTAGAGGATAAATAACCTCTTTGGAGAATCTCGCCAGAAGAAATAGGAGGAAAACGTCAGTGTGGCTCTGAGAAATGATTTGGGGTAGGGGGACCCCTTCTGTGTGAGACAGGGCAGAGAGTGAGTAATGAAGAATCTGGACTGAGTACACAGTTATGTGAAGCCAGCAGACACCGGCAGAGGAAATGAGATCCCAACAGCCTGCCCCGCACTGTACCAGAGTGTCAGTGGGTAATTTCTGTGTGTACTAATGAAAGTTCTGTGCTGTAGGCTGTGTAGCCAATAGAAATAGTGAGAGTAGAAAATGGAAGATTTGTGCCATTGTAACTCTTATGTATTCCTGCAGCGCAATGACACAGCCTATCTAATATACAACGACGGGATCCCTGAGTCTCAGAATTACAACAGAAAGTATGGACACACCAAAGGTGAGTCAGTGGTTCTTGGCTCCCTTTCCTACTGGGAAGCAACATTTTCTTAAGCCTTTTATCGAATTCTCATAATCCACATTACAAAGACAGCTTTTGTTTCCATGACTTATCATGACTCACTGAGATATGATTTCTATGTAACACTTTACAAAATAATTGTATGACAGACAGACAAAAGAAGTCGCATAAGGCTTTGACAATACACCCACTCTTCTGGCTGCTTTTCTCACCAAGCAACAGCCCTACACACTGCCCAGCCCTCTGCAGAGAGAAGCCTGAGGGTGATCCCTCCCAGTCTGGAAAGACCTGGACCCAGGGTGCCGAGGCCTGGCAGAAGAAAGTATAGCCACAGAAGGAGAGGATGGTTCCTCAGCATGGGTGTCAAGGGCTGTTCTCCCGACAGACTTCAGAGCATGTCTCCCACAGTGTCAGTAGCCCAGAGTCCCCAGCTCTCTTGACTGTCCAGGGCAGGATGGTTTGGCACCTGTAAGCTCCGGTAAAGTCACCAGCAGCATCTAGTGAAGAGTTGCCCCCTGGGAACCACCCAGATGCTGGATGATGGGGGACACAGAGAGAAGGATGCTGCTCCTGCCTGGGTAGGAGGAAGACTTGGGTCACAAGGGGATGGTAAAATGTGAAAATCTGTGGCCATAGCCACAGGGTTCCTGAGTACTGGTCCTTTTCTCTGTTCAAGAATGACTGCTCTCTAACAAACAGCATGGTTTCCCGCCTCATCCTGATGTAGCTCGGGGGATGCCTGCAAAGCCAGGGAGGAGCAGTGGGGAGAGAGGAAACCACTGTGAAGACAGAAGAGCAGGGAGCCGTGTCCTCCAGGAGCACAGCGGAGCAGAACCCTGTTGAGGGCAACTGCTGGGGGCTCAGAGCAGAGGCATGGGGCAGTGTCTGTCACCACTGGTAAAAGTCCCAGAGCAAAGCCCTATCCAATGGGGTTGCATAACCTCCTTACACATGCAAGCATACAACTTACTCTGTCCCCACACACACACACACACACACACACACACACACACTTTAGCACACTCTGTAGATCCCTATCAGTGCACAGCCCTATTTGGACAACACACACACACACACACACACACACACACACTTTAGCACACTCTGTAGATCCCTATCAGTGCACAGCCCTATTTGGACAGCACACACACACACACACACACACACACACACACTTTAGCACACTCTGTAGATCCCTATCAGTGCACAGCCCTATTTGGACAGCACACACACACACACACACACACACACACACACACAGGTATCCTTTCTACTGGGCAGACATGAAGACACAATGTGACAAATGGTGAAGGCCACCCTCGTGAGATATACATATGTCCCTTCCAATCACCAGACAGGTGCATACCAAGGGCACCGATATGAAATCCGTTTGTGGGGATACACTCCAGCACGTTTTGTCCAGTGTTCCAACATGCCACATTTTCCATCCTCACCTCCAGTGGACTCTGACCCCCCTTTTTTTCCTGACCTGTTATTTGCAAAAAGGATTTGGGGAAACAAAAGAGAGTTTAATGTGAAGTTGGGCCTTCATTTGATCCACAGGTACACTAACACCCAGGAGGTTGGGATACCAAGGTCGTGAATCCTGTTAGACAACAGAATCTCCAACAGTTTCCACCACAGCACACTTTCTCAAGGGGAACTCTTTGAAAAAGCAAGTCAGGCATTTGAGTGGATTTCCTGGCATATTCATATGTAGCCTGGAGCTCTGGGGAGCCCGCTATATGTCTATAAACATGGAAAGTGTTTTAGACAAGGGACTTTCTGCCATGTCACAACCCGCCTTTGTGACTTATATTTTAGTAGGCTCCTGAGAATATTTTTTTATAAAAGCATTCTCAACAAGGATGGTTTCTTTTGTTGTTGTTGTTTCGTTTGGGTTTTTTGTTGTTGTTGTTGTTGTTGTTTTGCATACTTACCTGTTTTTGTCTCTTTTAAATGAGCTCTGTAGAGAGCCTTCTACAACCAGTGAGCAGCTGCCTCTTATAACCAAGTGCTGCCAGCACCCCACCCCCTGTTTGCTCTGTCCCTTTCAACTGGCTTCTAGCAGCCCTTTGAAGATAACCTAGGACTCAGCAGAAAGACTCCAGCTGGAGCTTGCTAGGTGACTGTATATTTAACAGGGTCAGATTCAGTTTAGCAAACTCTCCCAACTAGTTTCAACATGGGATTACTCCTCCCTCTTCACAACGTGTCTTTCTTGGTTCCCCTTTTCAGTTAGGGGGCACCATGAGGTGTACCTGAGTTGTTACTGAAATCCTTAAAAACTGAGTCGATAATTCTCAAGATCCTAAGAAAACATTAGCCTAAAGTGCAAGTAGGCTCAATACTACAGTTCCAAAATGTATTTTGAGAGGAGATCTGATTTTTTAGCTTTTCCAAATCAAGCGTGTCTTTCTTTGGTAGGTCTACTGGTATGGAACAGAGTCCAGGGGTTCTGGCTGATTCATTCTGTTCCTGGGTTCTCTCCGGTTCCCGAAGACGGCTTTATCTACCCATCCTCGGGGAGGAAGAACGGACAAAGCGGCATCTGCATAACTTTCAAATACAGCCAGTTCAAAGCAATAGGTAACGCTGGCGCGTACCTGAAGGGGGCAGTGTGGTGAAGAAGGAAGTGGAAGCCATATAAACAAGGGCACCACTTTGTCCGGTAACCGATTCGTAGATCTTCTGGTGCCCAGGTTCTCCCACCGTCTCTGCTGTGGTGCGACCCTGGCAGGATCCCTTACCTAGCCTCAGTTCCTGGCCTGCAGATGACATTGCTGAACTCGGCCAGGGGCAAAAATTTCACAAAAAAAAAAAATGGATGAGGCAGACAGATGTTACATGAGCACTGGAGACAGTGACAAACTTGGGTGGTGGCTTTCCCTTGGATGTCGTCAGAGGCCTCAATACCATCATAAATATAGAGAAACACAAGATGCCTGTGTGCGTGCGTGCGTGCGTGCGTGCGTGCATGCGTGTGTGTGTGTGTGTGTGTGTGTGTGTGTGTGTGTAAGAGACAAACCCTTGTTTTAAAACATAGACTCAATGTTAGTTTTTTGAAAATTTCTTCAGACCGAATGTTGCCTCCATACGGCCAACATGCCACCTCAGCAGCAGATAAATGTCTTCTAAGATCTCATGCTCAAATAGCCCAAAATACTTCAAACTATGGTGTGGAAGTAAGAAAAGACGTAGTGTGTTTTATCTTCAGGTACAGGAAGCTTAGGAAATGTTCCTCATCCAACTTTCACCTTAAACCTTAGACCAATGTCTTAACCTTCTTAATGCTATGACCCTTTAATACAGTTCTTCATGTTGTGGTGACTCCAACCATAAAATTTATTTTTATTGCTACTTCATAACTGTAATTTTGCTACTGTTATGAATAGTAATGTCAGAATCTGGTATGCAGGATACCTGGTATGCAACCCCTGTGAAAGGGTCACTTGACCCCAAAGGGTTTGCGATCCAAGGGTTGAGAACCACTGGCCTAGCTCTAGAGGAACAGAAGTGATAGCATGAATATATACATACATGAGATTTAAGAACGTGACTTATAGCTAGTCCATCATTGGTTGTCTACCAACGGAAAGTCCAAGAATCCAGCAGTTGTTCAGCCCACCAGACTGGATGTCTTAGTTGGCCTTCAGGGTATGGCTGGACCCCAAAGAAGTTAGCGTCTAATTTCAGTAAAAGATTGAACTTGACACTGAGAGTGAAAGCAAGCAGGCAAAGAGCAAAAGCTTTTACGTCCTTTACGCAGGCCGCCACCAGAAGGTGTGGCCCAGATCAAAGGTGGGTCGTCCCTCCCCCTCCCCGAGCCGCCTCCCCCCACCCCCACCCCCACCCCACCCCCCACCCCCCACCCCCGCCTCAAAAGATTCAAATTAAAGGTGGGTGTTCCCACTTCAGATGACTTTGTTAAGAAAAACCCTCACAGGTGTACACCAGCCACTTGGGTTCTCGTTAATTCTAGATGTAGTCAGGCTGGCAATCAAGAATAGCCAATGCGTCCCTCATCTAAGTAGCTGAAGTCACGTTAGAGTGCTGAACACTACAGAGATGAGATGGACAACAAGCTCATTATTCCTCAAGCTGGATGTTCGGTACTAGGAGTTCTTTACTTTTATATATGCCCACATGGACAGAAAGAAAGCATGGGACCTCCAAGGCAGGGCTATGTAAGAATGAACAAGTTAGAACTCAAGGAGTGACACCCGAGGTTGTCCTCCGACCACCACATACGTGCCATGGCAGGCACGTGCATATATGCACACACATCACAGATACACACATGCTTATAACATTATGCACCCCACCCCCCCAAAAGATTAAAAGGATACATAAAACCACAAAAAATGTATGGAGAGTAGGTATGTTCAATAGGCTTCAATTACTTTAACCACAAGACATTTGAGGGTCGTTGCTCTAAAAGAGTAGGGAGAAGTACCCACATTTGGGGAATTTTCTGTGTCTGTATTTTAATCCTCATAAAAATCCATAATATCAGTAAGTATTTTCATTTGTGCTTAAGTTCTCAACTTTTCTTTGCTGTCTCCTGGTTTAGATTCCCAACTCTTGATCTACCAGCCAAACATCCGCAGCTGCTCCATCCCAAACACCTTCCACAGGGAGCTCATCCACATGCCCCAGCTGTGCGCCAAGTCCAGCTCCTCTAAGATCCATGGCCGGCAGCTCACCAAGCTCCAATCAGCCCAGGGACTGAACTTCCTCCATTTTGCGAAATCCAGTTCTTATTCTGATGGTATGAAAGGCTATCCACATGTTAGTAGGAATTGTGTGGCTTGCTTAGAGAAAGCACTGGTTATTTGTGGATAGAGTGGGAAAGAGGGAAAGCTTGAGAAGGAAAAAGGACACCAGGCATCAGCTCCTGCATTTCCATGTCCTGTAGGACTGGCAACCGTTGCTGGCTCACCCACGGAAGTCCTCCATACACACACAGCTGGGCCTCTAGAAACTGTCTCTGCTGGGCATAGAGCCATGGCTGTTTCCGGGATCCGCTGGACAGTTGCTCTGAGCCCTCCTTGTTCTCAAACCCTTTAAACAACCCTTTCCTCTCTCTCATGGTGAGAATGAAGACCATAAGGGAGCAATCACTTAAGTTCGGTACCCCCCTCACGCTTAGCTATCTTTATGCTTTTGTACCTGGGTTTGTATATATTCCAGCAGCCACCATCACTCTCTGTAACCCACTCTAGCCTCAAAATACCTTGAGTTTTTTTCTACTGGATCTGTTTTGTCTTTCAAACCTCTCACCCTCACAGGTTCTTTCTTTGTAGAACACGGGTCTATTTAAAAGCATTCCTCAAGTCTAAACTGCCTGTCTCTCTGGCTTCCACTTCTCCACCCAAATTTCTTTTGGAACAACCCCTGAGCCTTCAGCCGCTTGATTCTCTTCACTGTGAGTCTGCTTCTGTCTATAAACAATCTCTCACAGTCACAAATGTTTGTGGCCTGCCATCCTCTTTGCTTTCTTCCTTCTTTTATACATTACAGGGAATTTACTGAATATCTACACCCTATGTCAGACACTAGAGATACAGAAACTAACGGGACAGAAGAAGGCATTGCCGGCCGTGGCACTGATGAAAACCTTCCCTTCACGAAAGCTCTCCTTCACTGATTTTGGGAGCATATTCTCTTGGCCTTCCTTCTGATGTATTGAAGTCCCTTGTGCCAGACCCACCTCCTTAGGAGATGAGATTGCTATATGGTTTTCTACCCTTCCTTATATGGCTCTGTGTACATAATTCCAGAAAGCCCTTAGATGATTTCCAAGGCTGGGATTTCTGCCCCAGACTTCTACATTAACGGATGTATCCAACCACGAATGGGCTGTTTCCACTTGGAGCTGGTAGAGCTAGACCAAATGCAATGTGCCAGATTGACCTCGAGGTCATCCCCCATATACCCACTCTTTCTTTCATGTTCTTCACCGTCTCCAAGACATTCCAGTCTTCCTCTTTCCCATTCTTCCAACAAACCACCAAATCCATCCAGTCTCAGGTCCTTGGTAGCTTTCAGGTCTCTCATATCCTCTCTAGCTCCCCCTCCACCATAATCCACACCAATGGTTTTGCCACAGTCGTTGTGAAAAATCTGATGTTTCCTACACTCTCTGAAATCCACCCTCCAGGTTCATCCTGGACATTTCCTGTCAACTGATATTTTTGACCATATGTTTCTCTTTGTCCTAAACTAACATTTTTCTAAAAATTCTCCCACTGACTTCAAAACAATTCAATTGTAATAGTATGGCTTATAAAAATCCTTGAAATTGCCTCTAGTTCTCCAGCCTTATTATTTTCAGCAGAAGTCTTTTCTTCATGTGGGAGAGAAGGCATTTGCAGACTCTAACATCTCTACAGTATGACAATAAGAACTTTTGTGTGATCGTTGCTTTAAGATTTAGAAACTATTTTCCCCATCCACTATGTTTATAATGTGGTCATGCTGTTACTGTTGCCAGAAGCCCAGAGCAAGGGTGAATGGAGGCTTCCACTCCCTAGCAAGGGTGAACAGAGGCCTCCACTCCCTAGGGTCTTTTCAGGGATGACCTGGCTGATCTCGTTCACGGTTTCTCTCCTCCTGGCCTCTAGATATCTTTGCAGCCTGGATGGCTCAACACTTGAAGACACATTTACTGGCAAACACCTGGCAGTGGAAGGCATACGCACTTCCTTCAAACTGTTCCCTTCCTTACCATGTCTACAACATCAAGAAACTTAAGACACCTGACCAATTTTACTTCCCTTCTTCCTCTGACCATTCCAAGTGGTGCGTTTCCACCAAGAACTCCAGACATCAATGGGTTTGTATTGGAGACCTAAATCGGAGCAAATACCAAGTCTTCAGAAGTGGAGGATTCATCTGCACCAAGAATCGGTACATTTACCAATCGTTTTATAGATTAGTCGTCTCTTATGAACCGTGTGACTAAGCTTGGGGAAAAGATGCATGCACTCTCCTTGGAAACACTGGAAATGGAATTTCTTGCCTTGGATCTACTCTCCATATGTTAAAGGCTTCTGAGTATGCACAACATAGCGTCCATTTACTGTTCTGTTTTCATCAGTAGAAATTTGTCTCCTTTGTGTTTATGGAACTAGAAATGCAAATGATGGCATGTAAATAATGAAAATGGATGAAATGAAAGAAGGCATTCTCTTTAGTTTGGCCATCTTTAGTGGCCTATCTTGTGTATTAAATTTAGTCTCTTTCACAAAGCTCTCCTGATTGTCCTGTTTGAAGAAAATAAAAGCACCTCCCCTTGCTCTGTGTCTCTGTCTCCCTCTCCTCCCTACTGGCTTACAGATTGGTCTTGCCAGATTTGCGGGCACTGTTTACTGATAATACACTCTTGAGCTGCTCACTTGAATTCTCCACGACATTTTTTATTATTTCAGTCTAAGACAGACAGATCATGTCTAAGCACGTTCAGGCAACTCATACAGAACTTGTCACGTAGCTCACAATTGAATCACTCGAAGAAGCCAATCCCAGCTACTCAGGAGACTGAGGCAGAACTGTTGATCACAAGTTCAAGGCTGGCTTAGAGTACAAAGTAAATTCGAGGCTAGCCTGGGCAATTCACTAAGAACTTATCTTACAAAAAATGAAAAGCATCTGGGAGGCAGCTCCGTGGTCGAGACTTTGTACAGCATCTGCAAGGCCCTGGGCCCGATCTCACCCCACTGTCATACAGGACAGGCTGTGAAACGCTGGCAAAATTCGACCTCCCCCATCCCCAATAAAATATGACACAAAGAAGTTTTATGAATGATTTTTAGAAAAAATTGGTGAAGAAATGGAACGAAAACAATGTAAGTATAAACTCATGAGTCTGAAGGAAATAAATGTAAATGAAGAAGCAAAAATCAAGGGTAGTAATCTTAGTTTCGGTGTTAGTTTTTCTGGCGTTCTCGGCATGAAATGCCTGGTATGCAAAGGGATAATGATAAAATGAAAAGACTTGGTTGCTCAGCAAACTGGGAGGTGTGCTTCCAAGTTCTGAAGCTTAGAACCAAGCAGAAGTCACCACACGGTGACTGCACCCGGTACGTCCTGACCACATAGCATGATGCAGCCCACGTCCTCTGCTCGCTGTCCCATTTAATCTTTCTGGCAATTCTTTCAGCCACAACTTTCACTATCCCCGACTTCCTGACAAGTCAATGGAAGCTTGCAAAACTGCTTGGCTCTGAACTTGGGCTCTTATCCGAGATTCCAGAAGACAATAAAGGAAGTGAACAAATATAGGATCATAATTATCTTGCATCCAAGGAATGACATCATTAGAAGCAGTGGGAGACGCTTCAGGGTGTCAGGAATGTTTTCATTAATTTCTCTCTGGAAGAAAGGGGAGAGCATAGGGCATAATAACGAGTTAAAGTTAAGTCCTAAACCATGGTTTAAAAACTGGAATGAGGGCCAATGTGGTGGCTCATCAGGTAAGAGTATCTGTCTAGTAAAGTTAGCAACCTGAATGCAAGGAGAAAACCAACTCCCTAAAGTTACTACACACACACACACACACACACACACACACACACACACACACACACACAAAGATTACACATCAGGGACTGGAAAGCTAGCCTAGGAATTATGAACACTTGCTGCTCTTGAAGACCCAATGCCCTCTTCAGGCCTCCAAGGGCACCAGTCACACACATGCTTGCACGCAAAGCACCCTACACATAAAATAAAACTTAATTAAAATTAAATGTGAAAATATTTTAATTAAAAAATCCGTATCTTAGTTAGGAGTGTATCTTACAATAAAACATAAGCTGGAAAACAACCGTGAAGAGAAGAAATTAGGGACGCATATGTGCCAACAAAGTTCTGAGACGGAGTTCAAGGCCAGTTCAGCTCTTCTTTCTCAATCTCCTAGAAGAGCTTTTACTCTCTGTCTGTTATTCTCAAGTGAACTTTTCCTCCGTAAACCCAGATGACTGAACCGTTGGCCAAGCTAAAGAGATCATATTTGGGAGTAAACTTAAAGTAATGGTCCCAAACTGAACTTGAGAGCTTTAGGCCTTAAGTCTGGAATAAAGTGCTTGCACAATGTAGGTAAGATGGTTGGGTTTTTTGTTTTGTTTTGTTTTGCTTTGTTTTGTTTTGCTAAAGCAGAAAGTCCTGGACTTCACCATTTAAGAAACAGTGTAGAGACACTACAAGAAGCCCAGGAGTATTGAGCAAATGCTACCAGTTCCACCCACTCAGACATCAGCTGAGTTCCTCATGGAGCTCAATGAGCCTCCTGGGTCACACATGTGCTATGACATTTCCCCTACATTTTTTTCACTAAGTGACCCCTTTTAGCTTGGTGCATCTATTGCCATGATGAAACTGAGTGGCCAAAAGCAAGTTGAGGAGGGGAGGGTTTACTTGGCTTGCATTTCTGCAGTCTATAACCGAAGGAACTCAGGGTAGAACTCCAACATGGCAGGAGCCTGGAGGCAGGGCTGGTGCAGAGGCCATGGTGGACTGCCGCTCACTGGCTCGCTCCTCATGGCTTGCTCAGCCTGCTTTCTTACAGAACCCAGGACCACCAGCCCTTGAGCTGGGCCCTCCCGCAACAATCACTAATTAGGAAAATGACCTACAGGCCTGCCTACAGCCCAATCTTATGAAGGCATTCTCTCAAATGAGGCTCCCTCCTCTCTGATGGCTCTAGCTTGTGTCAAGTTGACATAGAACTGCCCAGCACAAGGTCCTCGTGTATTTTCATGAAGGCAACCTTTGCCTATGTATGGACACAACAATGACAAAGTGAGTTTGGTACCAAGCCTTTTCAACAGAAATAATAATTGAGACATGGATTATGAGGCTCAGAGTGTTCCAATTACTAGCACTTTAAATGTCAACATGGAATGTGGGCAAAAGAGGAAATAAACAAGAATGTAGCATTAGATGGAAAAGTTTTCACAAGAAGCAGTGGAAAGAAATTGGTGGGATAAAATTAAAAAACTGTTAGGACTTCAAACATTCAGACATTTGTTAGGGTTCTTATCCAGCTGAAAGAATTGTTGATTGACTTTTGGCTTACTACACTGACAATTCCAACTCCCAAGGAGTAGATGTTCTATCTAGAGGAAATTCCAGCTCTGAATCTAACTCCTGAAAACAAAGAAGATTCTTCCAGTGAAATAAAAATAATGGTATCCTCGGTGACAAGTGTGTCTGAATGATCATTAGGAAAGAGGTGTTGAACAGACTCCAGGTTTGTAAGATCTGAGATGGAGCCACAGAAGGAAATACGGCTCAGTGGAAGAAGCTGCTGAGAGGGAATCCAGCTTGGGATGCTGAGAAGAAATAGTGACCGTGTGAGTTACCCAGCAGGAAGAGAGAGCAACTACCCAGACAGTGACGCAACAACACAGCTGCCATTTTAGAAGCTTGCTTACGACGTGAGTGACCTGAATACCTGCCTTTCTCGAAAAAGTGCTGTGATTAAAAAATATTTTATAAGGCTGGAGAGATGGCTCAGCGGGTAAAAGCACTTGTTTTGTGGGCCTGACAGCCTAAGTTTAGATCCCAGTTGCTCATGTAGAAGCTGGACACAGTGGTGATGTCTGTAATCCCAGCAGTCCTGTGATGAGATCACGAGACGGATGTGGGAAATGGAGTCTTTCTGAAGCTTTCAGCCTAGCTAGCCTGGAGCACAGCTGTCATCAAGGGAAACCCTGCCCCAAACCAAGTATATGGATACCAGAGGTTGTCCTCTGACCTCCATACTGGTGCCATGGCAGGGATACACCCTCATACACACACACACACACACACACACACACACACATACACAACACGCATGTACAAAGATAAGTATCTAGAAATACTTTGCATTTGTCTTTTTGGCAGAAACTAACAGTGATGAAATATGGATGCTAAAAGAAACCTGCCTTTTCTTTCCAGCGAAGCAGATAATATTTGAGTTAAGATGTAGGAAAATAATCAGAAATAATTCAGTCAAGATTGCTGCAAAGCAGTATCAAGACAACATAGATCTTTACACTTAAGTAACATTCCCAGGTCAATAAATGAAAGCTAGGACTTCTAGAAGAGTAAAGATGTTTGAGGAGACACATAACATAGACAACATCCTAACTTTTAGTCTCCAGCATCTTCCACAGTTTGAATCTTCAGTGGCTTTCAAGAGCCAGATTGTAAGCATGTAGAAAACTATCATCTAGATAGCCTACAGCATGTCTATGAATTAGGCGTCTCAGCAGTGATGGAGATGGAACCCAGAGACTCACATGTGCTACATAAATTCTCCACCTCTGAATGATATCCAAACCTGACCCAGACTTCTCTGGATACTTCATCTCCATCTACAACAGAAGGAATAAGACTGGTGTGTTGTAATAATGTCAAGATGGCACAAAACATAAGCCTTTCTTGATATCTTTATGGTCAACATGATAACACTGAGTGAATTCCCATTTGCATGCACAGTGATTATGAATTCATGCATTATCCAGAGGGTAGAAATAGTGGGCTCCGTCCATTTGAAAAGAGAGTTCAACCACCTTTCCGATTACATCCACTGGTATGTTCTGTCTCAGGAACACCAATGTGCAGAAAAGAAGGCAAACAGCCTCTGCTCTGGTTTCAGGGGTCTGATAGTTTACTGCCCTATGTTTGTTTTTAACTAACTGCTCAGTTTGAATCTTAAGATCCCCCAATGCTCATCTGTTAAAGGCGTCATCGCCTAAATAGGAGGACTGGCAGGAACTTCTTAGAGGTGGGGACTAGAGGTCTTCATGACATTACAGCCATGTTCTAAAGGTGACGAGGGGGGCATCTCATTCTCTCCTCTCTCTCTCTGTCTCTCTGTCTCTCTCTTTCTCTCTCTCTCTCTCACACACACACACACACGCACACACACACGCACGCTAGCCATAAAGTGAATAAGTTTGCTCTGCCATATGCCCCTATCAAGATGTGAGTGGCCACAGGATCAAACGCAATGAGACAAACCAATCAGTTACCTGAACTCCCAAAACTGTGAGCCAGACTAAGCCTGTTTTCTCAGGTATTTGTTATAATAGTGGAGAACTGACACAATGATTTGGGGTGAGCATTGAAAAATGTATTTATTTCCCTGAGAAATGGATAAGAGGAATAACAGATCCAGAAGAGATAACAGCATTGACTTCCCATTACAAGCATTAAATCAAATAGTACTAAAAATGTTAATGGTAGATTAACATCAAAATAGAACACCGTGGTGTGGTACTATATTATTTATGATTTATTAAAGCTT